CACCTCAATAAACTAGAAAAAGAGGACCAAAATAAACACAAAGCAAATAGATGAAAGGAAATAATAAAGGTATAATCACAAATCAAAGTGAAAAAAAGTAACATTTATATTAGCACCCTAAAAATGAAATACTTGGATGTAAACCTAACAAAATAGGTACAGGATCTATAGGAGGAAATCTACAAAGCGGTGATGAAAGAAATGAAGATTTAAATAAATGGAGAGATTTTCCATGTGCCTGGTTAGAAAGACTCAATATTACCAAGATGTCAGTTCTTCCCTATTTGATCTTTAGATTCAATGCAATCCTCATAAAAACCTCAATAAGTTATTTTGTGGACATAGGAAAACTAATTCTAAAGTTTATCTGGAATTCCAAAGGTGCAGAATAGCCCATGCAATTCAAAAGAGAAGAAGATGACTGACACAATCCAACTTCAAAACTTAGTATAAAGCTACACTAATCAAGACAGTATGGTATTGACTGAATAAATAGACAAGTAGATCAGTGAAACAGAATAGAGCCCAGAAACAGGCCCACATAAATATAGTCAATTAATATTTGACTAAGGCACAATGGCAATTAATGGAATAAGGATAGTTATCTTACCAATTGATGCTGAAACTCGACATCCACACGAAAAGAAATTAATCTAGACATAGACCTAATATCTTTCACAAAAATTAACTTAAAGTGGATTATAAACCTAAATGTAAAATGCAAACTATAAAACTTGTAAAGAAAACATAGGAGAAATTGTAGTGGTCTTGGGTTTGTTGATGGCTTTTTATATACAACACTAAAAACATAATATATAGAAATGATAAGGTGGATGTCATTAAAATTTTAAATTTATTTTCTGCAGGAGATGTTCTCAAGAGAATGAAAAGACAAACCAAAAACTAGGAGAAAATTTTTGCAAAACACATATTAGACAAAGGACTGCTATCCAGAATGTACAAAGAACCCTTAGAACTCCATAATAAGAACACATACAACCTAATAAAAAAAGACAAAGATTGGAACAGACACCTCACCAAAGAATATATACAGATGACAAATAAGCATATGAAAATATGTTAAATACTATGTCATTATGGAAATACAATTTAAAATAACAATAAAACACTAGAATACACAATGTAATACACACCTACTAGAATTAATCAAAATTCAAAACACTGACAATGCCAAATGCTGGTGAGGATGTGAAGCAACAGGAACTCTTATTCATTGCTTAGTGGATATGCAAAGTGGCACAAACACTTTGGAAGAAGAAAACATTTTGGTAGTTTCCTGGAAAGCTAAACATACTTCTAACATCTGACCCAGTAGTTTTGCTGCTTGGCATTTACCCAGATGAGTTGAAAACTTATGTCCATCCAAAAACCTGCACACAATATTTATAGCAAGTTTTTCATACTTGCAAAAAACTAAAATAGTTGTAAAATTTTTTTAATTACACTCAGACAATGGAATTATATTCAGTAGTAAAAAGAAATGAGCCACAAGAATGAAAACATAAAGGAGATCCTCAAATGCATATTGCTAAGTGAAAGAAGCCAATCTGAAAAGGCTACAAAAATAGTGAATGGTTCCAAGCATATGACAGTCTGGAAAAAGCAAAAAAAACTGGAGAAAAAGAAAAAGATCAGTGGTTTCCAGGGAATTGTGTAGGGAAAAAGCGATGAACAGGTGGATCACAGGGGATTTTTAGGGCTATGAAACTATGATTCTATATGATATTGTAATGGTGGATATATGTTATTATATATTTTCAAAAAATCTGTATATCGTACAACACAGAGTGAATTCTATCAGTACTAGTTCATCACTTGTAACAAATGCACCTTATTAATTTTGGAAAGACATTTAGAAAAACAAAGGAAATTGGCTGGGGGGTGAGAGGTATATGGCAACTCTGGTTTTTGCCTAATTGTTTTATGCAAACCTAAAACTAGTCCCAATAAAATTCTATTAATTAAAAATTAGTAGCTACAGAGGGTATATTGCTGGCTACCAGAGGCATGGGGTGAAGGGGAACAAAAGGTAAAAAGAGGAAAAAAATGAAAAAAAAAGTGAGTTCATTGAAAAAAATCAGTGAAATTGACAAACACCTAGCAATACTGGCAAGGATAAAAAAAGACACAAATTACTAATATCAGGAATATCGCTGATATCAGGGATATCACTACAGAATTTGCAGACTTGAAAAGGATAAGAGAATACTACCAAAAATTCTACACACACAAATTTAACAATTTTGATGAAATGAATCAATTTTTTGAAAAATGAGAACTACCACATCTCACCAAATAGGAAATAGATTACTTGAACTGCCCTGTAACTATTAAGAAAATTTCATTCATCACTAAATGCTTCCCCCAATACGAATCTACAACTTTCCAAAACCTATAGCTAGACATCATACTTAATGGTGAAAAATAGAATATTCTCACGCTACTATCAGGAAAAAAACATGATGTCCACTCTGACCACCTTTATTCAATTTAGTACTGGAAGTTTTAGCCAACTCAGTAATGCAAGTAAAGGAAATAAAAGGCACACATTAGTGGCTGTATAGACCACAGCTATTAAATGAATTCAGCAAGGCCCCTGAATACAAGATCATACCAAAATCAATTCTGTGTCTATATAGTAAAAATGAACACATTGAAACTGAAAGTAAAGATACAATACTATTTTAGTCATTCAAAAAATCAAATACTTAAGTCTAAATCCAACAAAGCATTTGCAGGATTTGTATGCTAAAACTACAAAACACTTTGTAGTTTTCTTAAATGAAAGAAATCAATGAAGTTCTAAATAAATGGAGAGACATTCTTTGTTCATGGACTGGAAGATTCAACATAGTAAAAATGTAAATTCTCTCCAAATTGATTTACAGTTTTAACATAATTCCTACAAAAGTCCCAGTAAGATTTTTTGTTGATGTAGACAAGGTAATTGTAAAATTCATTTGCAAAGGAAATACGCTAGTATAGCTGAAACAATCCTGGGAAAAAAATAAAGTGAAAAAAATCTATCTACCCAATTTCAAAAATTATTATATAGCTATGCTAATCTAGATTGTGTGGCATTTACAGAAGGATAAAACATATAGAACAGTGGAACAGAATAGAGAACCCAGAAATAGCCCTACAACAGTGTGGTCAATTTGGCTGATTTTTGACAGATGCCATAGCAATTCAATGGAGGAAGCTTTTCAAGGAATGGTGTTCGAAAATTTGATATCTATAGGAAAACATAAATGAACTTTGACCTAAATCTCACACCTTACACAAAAATGAACTCAAAATGGACCATAGATTTAAAGGTAAAAAATAAAACTATAATGCTTTTAGAAGATAACAGGGAAAAGTCTTCAGGATCTAGAAGGGTTGGTGAGGAAATCTTTGAAATGGCACTAAAACCATAATCTTTAGAAGAAAAAAATAATAGCTTGGACTTTATCAGAATTAAAAACTTCTGTTCTGCAACACCAGGATGTTTAAAATGCAATCTATAGAATGGGAGAAATATTTGCGAAACCACATATCTGACAAAAACTCATTATCTAGAATATATAAGGATTCTCAAACTCAACATTAGAAAAACACAATTAGAAAATGAGCAAAAGACATGAAGAGACATTTCACTGAAGAGAATATATGGATGGTAAATAAATATATGAACGTATTTTCAACATCACTAGCCATTGGAGAAATTAAGAACCTGATGATCAATCACTACACGCACCAATGAGAACAGCCAGAATTTTAAAAAGAATTTCTGACAATACCAAATGCTGGCAAGAATGCCAAGAAACTGGATCTCTCATACATCATTGGTAGGGATGTAAAGTGGTACTTTTCTGGAAACAATCTGGCAGTTTCTTATAAAACTAAGCACATAATTAGCATATGACCCAGCAATTGTACTCTTAGGCATTTATCCTAGAAAAATGAGAACTTGTATCACACAAAAACCTGTGTATGACTGCTCAAAGAAGCATATATGTAATAGCTAAAAATTGGAAACAACCCATATGTCCTTCAGTAAGTGAATGGTTAAACAAATATTGCAAAGAAAATGGAAGAAAATGGTACATAAATATCATCGAATAATACTGATTGATAAAAGGAATGAACTATTGGTACATGCAACTTGAATAAATAATCAGAAAACTATGCTGAATGAAAAAAGCCAATTTCAAAACATCACATGCTGCATCCCTTCATTTATATAATATTTATATTCTCAAAATTACACTTACAGAAGTGGGAAACAGATTAGTGGTTCCAGGGGTTGGGGATAGTGGGAAGAAGGGGAAGAAGAATGGTGTAATAAAGGACCATAGAATTGTGCATGCATATTGTAAATTATAAATTTCCTGTTTTTGTTATTGCACTGTAATTATGTAAAATGTAAATTGAAGGAAACAGAGTAAAGGAAACCTACTGTTGCCACTTCCTGTTACTTTAAAACTGTTTTAATACAAAAAGATTAGTTCTAAATCTAGTAAGATTAAATTTTAGAATGCTTGAAATATGCAGGTAACTATTATGGAGACAAAGAAAATTAATAGAAGGCACATTTTCACCTAGGAAGAGCAAGATTGGAAATGGGATATGACCTATGGCTGTAACTGTATGCCTGGTCCCTTTAAAAAAAGAACCAATTCCTGCTTCATTTGAAATATTTGCTGGGTTATTTTCTGCAGAAAGAAACAAAAACAAAAATGAAAACAAAAAGGCCTACTGCCATGGACTGACAGTTGTTTGAAACTTAATATTTAGATAAATATCTTTCTGCTAATAAGATATATAAAATAAAAATATATTTTAATTTTAGCATATTGAGTAATAATAAAATTTCATTATTCTTAGTAACTATTTCTTTCAATCATATTTATGTAGCATCCATTCATTATTTTAATATCCAGAACTGCTAAGCTTCCTAGGTTTATAAAGCTTCTTCCTCTGTTTCTTTTATAAAGACTTGGATTGGGAATCGAAGAAGGAAATATCGTTTAATGGGGATTGAAGTTCCTCCTCCAAGAGGAGGCCCTGCTGATTTTTCTGAGCAGCCCGAGTCTGGTTCTTTGTCTGAACTCACACCAGGAGAGGAAGGAACTGAAGTAGGAGAGGATAATGACAGAAATGATGAAGTATCCATCTGTTTGTCTGAAGGAAGCTCTCAAGGTATTTTATATGTTGAATCTCCTACTGATAACTCTTATAAATTTGATGCATTTTTCTTGCTTTTCAGCTTATTGTACTTCAGACCTAAAATCCTCAAAACATTTGGTCAAATATTTGAAAAGAAGTAGATTTATTTTTATTCTATTTTTTAATAATTATATGTATTTAATGTGCACATGTTTTAATATACATACACATAGTGAAATGATTACTACAGTCAAGTCCATTAACACATTCATTTCCTTATATAGTTCACTTTCATGTGTGTGGTGAAAGCACCTGAAATCTACTGTCTTAGAAAATTTCCAGTATATGATATAGTATTGTTAACTATAATCATCAGGCTGTACATTGTATCTCCTTACTTATTCATCCTACATAATTGCGACTTTGTACCCTTTGACCAATATCTCCCCATTTTCTTCATCTTCCCACTTCAGTAACTACTATTCTACTCTGCTTCTGTTTGACTTTTTTTTTTTAATTCCTCATGTAAGTGAGATCATGCAGTATTTTTCTTTCTGTGTCTGGCTTATTTTCATTAGCATAACATCCTCCAGGTTCGTCCACATCATTGCAAATAGCAGGATCTCGTTTTTTAAGTCTGAATAATATTCCCTTGTATATGTATTCACCACAATCTATATATCCATTAATCTGATGATGGAGTCAAGTTGTTTCCATATCCTGACTACTGTGAATGATGCTACAATGAATATGAGCGTTCAGATACCCTTTCAGGTACTGATTTCATTTCATTTGGGTACATACCCAAAAAGAAATTGCTGGGTCATATGGTAATTCCATTTCTAATTTTTTAAAGAACTTCCATACTGTTTTCCATAATGTCTATACCAGTTTACATTCCCATCAATGGTATACAAGGGCTCCTTTTTCTACAGATCCTCACTAACATTTGTTGTATTTTACTTTTTTGATTTTTAATGCCTCTGCCTGAACAGTTTCCACATCAAGTCACCACAATGAGGAACATTTCATCTAACATTATAATGATTTCCCACATTTATAAATTGTTATTACAATAATCCACAATTATAATTAAGTCCATGATTGTTTTTATTTTATTAGAATTCTAGTGGATTCATGTAAGAGCATTATAAGTTCCTTGTAATGAAAGAGAATATGGTATAATGTAATTATACCAGGCTAGTAGTCAGCAACCTGGATGCAAGTCCTGGATCTTCAACTAGATGATTATGACTTTGAATAAAGCATTTAATTCATCAGACTTAAGTTTCCTTATCTGCAAAACAAGGGAATTAGGCTGGATTATCCTTAGAGTGTTTCACAGTGTTTCACTAAATAAGAATTCAAATAATAATACATAATTATACCATTTGCCCATGAGAGGTATGTTTCATCGATTTCAAGCATAGAACCAATTCTCTTCTGACATGTTTTTTAATAAACAATTTTACAACAGTGTAATTTACATATCATAAATCCATCCATTATAAATGTAGAATTCCATGTTTTAAATACATGTTATGAAGTTGTGCAACCACAACCATCAACAAAATCTAATTTTAGAATACTTTCATCACTTTAAAAATTTTCTTGAGCCACCTTGCAAACTGCACTCCTATCTCCGGACCCAGGCAACCACTGATCTGCTTTCTGAAAATATAAATTTGTCTTTCCGAGGCATTTCATATAAACTGAATCATACAATATATGGTATTTTTGCATCTGTGATAGAATCTTGCATTAGCCCATTTTGTTTGTTTTTATTTTATTAACCAAGATATTAATATTATATTTTCCAGTTTATTTTTTGCCTTTTACATTTTCTTATGGAGTTTTCTAATGTTAAAACTTTTGTCTGCAATTTTTATGTTGGCAAACATACCAGTCCTTTCCTTAATTATTTCTAACTTTGAACTTATAATTACAAAGTCATTCCTTGTACTGCAATGTAACCATACCCCTATATTTGCTTCTTGAATCCTTATGGTTTCATTTTTACATCTTGATGTTTATTCCACCTATAATTTATTTTGCTCTAAGATGTGTATGGAAAATACCTGATTTATTTTTTCCAAATAGTAACCAGTTGCCCCTACACTCTTTGTTGAATAATCCAGTATTGAGTTTAAATGTAATTTTTTCTTATCAAATGTATGTGTATATATGTATATACACACATATATGTATACATGTGCATGTGGGTCAAATTCTGGATTTCTTATTATGTTGCATTGATCTGATTACATGTAACTGTGGCTTTATAAAACATCTAAATATCTGGTAGGGCTCTAATGATCCTCTTAGCTCTTGTAGCACACTGATGAACTTTATATTATTCATTTATTTTCTAATTGAAGTATAGTTATTATACAATATTGTATTGGTTTCAGATATACAATATAGTGATTCAACGGCTATATACATTATGAAATCCTCACCCCAAGTACTGTAGTTAATATCTGAGAACATAGAAAGATGTTACAGAACTATTGACTATATTCTTGATGAAATATAGAATTGCTTATTCATAGCTTTCCCCAATCTTACCCTTAAAAATTCATTTAAGTATTTTATTGATACTGCATTAAATGGATAGTATAATGTGAGAAGATGAATTCAGTTTTGCATATGTTGAATTTTAGTTGATATCAGGACATCCATGTGGAGCTGTCCAGCAGACCCCTGGATAATGTGGGTTTGGAACTCAGAAGGTGGGTGAAGACATGAGAAGAAATATGGAAGGTACCTACATTGAGGCCAAAAAGTGACTAGCCATAGAAATAGAAAACAGTATTAAGTGAGAGAATAGAAAACAAGAAAGGAAGATGGACAAACACCGGGTGTTGAGAAATATCCAGATTTGGAGGTTGGAGGAGAAAAGGGAGTCATTGAAAGAACATTCAGATACAGGAGAAAGGATAGTGTTATTACTAAAACCAAGGAAAGAGAGATTTCAGAAGGAAAAGGAGTCATTATCTCAATGGTCTTACAGAGATTGGGTAGAAATTCCTCTCATGATGCATCTAAAATTGTCAAAAGTATATAAGGGGACAATAGAATGATGATACCAGGGAATGGAGAAGAGGATATAGGGAGCTGTTATTCAGTGGATATAAAATTAGTTATACATGAGGAAAAAGTTCCAGAGATGCATGGTACCTACAGTTAGCAATAAGGGATTGTATATTTAAAAACTTGTTAAGAGGAAAATCATGTTAAGTGTTCTTTTTTTATTAAGGTATCATTGATATACCATCTTATGAAGGTTTCATATGAGCAACATGGTGGTTACTACATTCTCCCCTATTACCAAGTCCCCACCACCTACCCCATTACAATCACTGTCCATCAGCATAGTAAGATGCTAAAGAGTCACTACTTGTCTTCTCTATGCTATATTGCCTTCCCCATGTCCCCATATTATGTGTGTTAATCATAATACTCCTTAGTCCCCTTCTCCCTCCTTTCTCACCCACCAACCCCACCCTCTTTCCCTTTGGTAACCACTATCCATTCTTGAGTTCTGTGAGTCTGACGCTATTTTGTTCCTTCAGGTTTTGCTTTGCTGTTACGCTCCACAGATGAGTGAAGTCATTTGGTACTTGTCTTACTCTGCCTACCTTATTTCACTGAGCATAATACTCTCCATCTCCATCCATGTTGTTGCAAATGGTAGGATTTATTCCCTTCTTATGGCTGAATAATACTTGTTGCAGTTGGGGACCATGAAAATGAGAAACCAAGTCATAATGATGTTTAATGCAGAGGGCTTAGACTTCTTCTGGAGACTAAGCACTAAGTCAGTGTGCCCCTGCATCTTTATTAGGTTACAGCAAGCAGTAAAACAATCATTGATTAATAATCATTGAATGTACTTTCTCAATGAATCAACCAACCATGAACTCGATTTGATTTTTATGTGCCTATTGTGTTAAGTCATTCGGTTATGTGAGTTTCACAGTATGTTCCTTGTCTGGGTTTGCCCAGAAGGATCACAAGAACTGTTTGCAGCTTCTGTTGCACACTGTTCATAACTCACACCAGATCCTATAAATCAACACTTTGTTCTTCCTAGTAGATTAGTTTTGGTCATAAATCAAACTTAAGCAGAAACTAAACTACACCAAAGTTTATTGCTAGGGGGTCTACATTTCCCCCTTTTTGTTTAGCTTGCATCTTTTGTAACATTAATGAGAAGACTGCTGATTGCTGTTGAGCACGTTGATGTTTTTGGGTAGCTCTTCTCCAGACTATACAAAACACAAATAACAAACATAATACAATTATTTTAAGTGTAGCAGTGGAACCACTGCTACACTTTATCGGGTCCAGATTACTTTTTTCATCTGCAATACTTTCCTGTAGATTAGAACCACTTAATACTTGCAATTGTTCTTGGAAAGTATCAATAATGTGCTGTTGAAATTTTAATAATTTTTGAGTCATGTTGCCATGATTTAACGGATGTTTTTTACATTATCCCCGAGAAAATAAGTATGATTATATGGTATAAGAGTAACACAAAATCCAGTTGTATTTCAATCACATTTCATAGAAATTTGATGTTTCAAACTAACAATTAGATCTCCTGGCGTGATAACTGCTTGTTGCAAATCAGTCAATAGTGCATTAATTTCACTATCTATCCATCTTTGGGTGGTCCACAATTTTGATGAATTAGAATGCCAATTATTAACAAAGTTAACAGTCTGAATGCTTTGCTAAAGTGTGACTCCAGAGGTTGCAGCAGTTGCAGTTATAGCTACGATTCCCAAGGTAGCTGTAATGATTAATCCAATCATTCATTTAGTTCTTTTCAGAAGATTGTCAGTAGTATATTGGAGAAGCATCATGCTTGGAGAGTCTTGCCACTTTTGGTGTATTTGAACTGGAAGCCAGAGACCTATTCTAGCCTTAAGAATATAAATACTATATTTTGTGGAAAAAGGAGCAGAGTTATTAATACAAGTATAGAATGAACAATTTACACAGGAGATGGAATACCCAGATGA